CCCCCCCCCCCCCCAGGGGGGCGGCAGCCAATCAGCGTCTGAGACGCACGATGCCCCGTAGGCGGGCCGAGCGCCATGGGCGGGGTCTGATCACCTAGCATTCCTGGTTGTTGTGCTTCCGGTGCCGCAGACCGAACTGTCCAAGGCTTCTTTAAGAAAGTGCGCTCCGACTGCGTCTTCCCGGGAGCCGAGAGCTTCTGCTCCCGACTGTGCCCTGGCGCTGGGTTTGGTTATTCACTCTCTGATCGGGCCCTCCAGCTGCCATAGTTGTGAAATCTGCTCCAGATTTCGATTTTGTCTGATACTCTGGGAACATTTGTGCCTAATGTTAAGATAGTTTTAATCTGCTCAAGATTTCTATTTTGTTTGATACTCTAACATTTGTGCCTAATGTTAAGATAGTTTTTTGAAAAGTGATGGGGACCTAGAGGAAGAGAACGTGCGAACATTTTGGAATTGGATCCTTGGCCACCAACCATGGCAGCAGCGTACGGTTTCCTCCTCACTGTGTCAGCCTAGAACTAGGTACAACCACCGTGAATCGGCTGTGTTGATTTGGTGGCTCGCCTAGTTACCTAGTAGGAGCAATCCTTCATTTTAATCAAAAACACACACCCCCGCCCCCTGCCTCGGGCACGCTAACATACAGAATACAAACACACTGGAAATGACAGCACAGCAGTGACAGCCAGCCAGAAGACATAGTGCTCTTTTTTCCCCCTTCTAGGCGGTAGGTGCGAAGAAGGATGAAAAGATCCCCCCCCCCCTTTTTTATAAGCCAGATACGTGAGAGAAGAGGCAGTACAGAGTTCAGCGCTTCAGTTTGGGGAACTGATGTCTGCACTTGGGTGGTTTGTGAACACCAGTAGATGGAGGCCGATGAGAAGAACCGAAGCCACTGTTGAATGACCATAGTCAGAGACCAGGTCTGCGTTGCAGAGGAGAGCTTTGTAACAGATAGTTGCATTTGATGGAGGAAAGCAATCTACGGCTATGTCGGTCCTTCAAATTTCTTTTCACTCAAATACATGGCCTTGTTTATTTTCTCTGCCAGTGGAGTTGTGTTGCTGTTTTTTTTTTTTTTTTTTTCCTTCGTTGGCAGGCGCACATTAGCTTGTATGGCCATGGTTGTGACTTGAGGGACTAGGTGTTCCTCTGTGAAAAGCTCATGCTCCAGCGCTTGCTTTTTGAATGGGGAACGAGTGGGAGATAGTGTGTGAAGGCAGTTGAAAATCTGGTATTTGAGGGACTGAAAGCAGCTCAGCTGTACCTCTGACTGGCAGGCAAGATTCCGAGATGGTCCCTAGTGCTTTGCTGAGCTGTGTCATGAAAAATAGAACATCTGATTCCATAAAGGAAGATGCTGGAGTGACCTGGCTTGATTAAGTTTTTGCTATTTCTGTACCTTGTCTCAGAATCTATGGCAAGGAAGTTTTGGCTGGGCGATGTATCTCTTCGATTAGGGAAGAATGGGAGCAAGAAGAGAATGATCTAGCTTTATATAATAGTTTTAAGACTGACATATGCCTTAATTAAGCTCTCAGTGTGTTAAATAGAGACATTTTTAATTTCCTGTAAACTGCCAAGTATTAGGACAGCTATTCTTCTAACCAGCAATATTTTTTTCTTTTGTCTGCATCTAGGCATAAGTAATAGTCATTAGTAGACTCAGTATAATTTTAATGCCAAGGTTATAGATGTCAATGAAGGCAGTGTTTGTTGGGAAAGTGGTCTCTTGGCCTTGTGTGGCTGAGAGGACCAAGCTAGCTCAAACCTCATGCTCCCCACAAGCGTGTTGACTCTGTGGTTTTGTTACTTTTTTCTCGTTTATCTCTGTTTCTACTATTTCTCTAAATTTTTTCGCAGCTTGCTAGCTTCCGACAGAGAAAAACAAAAGGTGACTGTCCGAATTCGAAGAAAAAGACGGCGAAGAGGAAGGGTTCGGCTGTCAATGCGCCTGTCCAGGAGGAGGGTTCGGTAGCACCACAAAACAGTGAGCTCCCCCAAGGAGGGGCTGGTTTTGAAAGCACGTCATGCAGCAACACCCTGGAGGGGACCAGAGGGGCATTTGCAGCTCAGGTAGATTTATTTACTCATCATTATGCTAACATGTTGCCTATCTTCTAGTTATTGTTGCAGTAATTTACTAAACGTGGCCTTCTGTTTTTGCCTTTCAAAAATAGGGGAGAGGTATGTTAGTCCATAAAAGGTGAGCGAACAGGTTTTACGTAAATAAATGACTCATCTTTAAAGTTTATTTTATTTATTTTTTTTGTGTGTGGGCACTCATGCCGTGGTGTGCATGGGGACAGCTTTGTGGAGTAGTTTCTCTCCTTCCACCTTTATGTGAGTTTTTGGCAATTGAATGTAAGTTGCTTGGTTTGGATGGCCGTGGCTTTACCGGACAGCGGCTTTAACGTGACAGCCCACTGCCTCATCTTTAATATGATTTTGAAGAGTTTTGGACAATGGTTTAAAGACAAATGTCAGTTTGGTGCTTTGTTAAGGGACCTTTACAGGTGACAGTAGGTTTGCTTGTATGTGGCCTGGTTCTGTGTGACTGCTATCTGTGTGTGACATTTCTTTACCTACTTTTGGGTGCAACATGTGTTGTCTCTCCACTTTGCTCACTTGGTGAAGGTAGGATTAGGGGAAAGGGAGTGTTTGTGGCCGAAGGAGCTGGCCTCTGGCTGCTTCAGTCTATGAGTTGTGGGGTCCAAGCCCCTTGACTCCCTCTCTCTTCCCTGGGCCTCCAGACTGCTCCTGGGAGCTCCCATGCAGATTGTAGCTCTATAATATTTCATTGTAGTGAAATCAGCTTTCCACATGAGAAAATTCAATCAAATGTAGATTAAATATTTCGGGAAAATTGCATTTGTATTGAATATGTACACAGTTTGTTTTCCAAACCACACAACAAAGATGTTTACTTAGCATTGATACTGTTGGGTGTCGCAAGGAACCTAGAGAGGCACCTGGAAATAGTTGGTCTTTTGGAGGATATTGGTAGGTCACATGGAAATACTGTACTATTTTGCCCATCCCTGAAGAGACCAAGAGACACTGTATGCTATTTTGTTGATGTCTTCATCCATTGCAGACTGTTTCCATACTTTGTCTGTCTAATGCTGCCGTGACTATTTACGCACTTTTTTTTTTTTTTTTACTTTCAGGACATAGTTTTTCAGTTCTCTGGCCTATTAATCGTTTCTTAGATGCTGTTTTCTTGTGTAAATTCTCTACATTCTTTGCTTTGCTTCTCTAGGAACGACAAGACTGTGAACTGGATGAGCCTGGCCTGCAGGCACAGCAACAACAGCCACAGCCACAGCCACAGCCAACCCAGGTGATCTGCTCGACCTGGCTATGACTCTCAGTCTTCACGGGGTCATAGCCTGTGTTCTGCCATTATTAACAGGGCATAGTGGGTCCTGGTTGCTGGGGATGGTTGCAAGTGGGAGACACTCATTCCAAAGTAGACAGGTGGGGGCTGTGCTAGCTGTCCCGTCTTTTATTTTGTTATTTTCACATTGTCTTTCTGAGTCCATTCCCCAAGCAAACGGAGGGTCATGTGTGGATACCTGAGTGAGAGTCTGGCATGTCTGTGATGTGTGAGAGATGCACTTCCTGTGCTCGTTGTCAGTCATAGTGTTTTAGCATGGAGACACATGCCAGTTTGGAAATGGGGTGATGGTACCTTCTTGTGTTACGTGCTCCCTCCTGCTTCTCCCCATCTTCTTCTTTTCTTCCTCCTCCTCCTTTCTTTCTTTTTTTTCAATTTCTGTTTGGTGATGCCCTTACCACCCTGGTTTCTGACTTGGATCTCATCAGGCCTGGTTCCTCTCTGCCTGCAGACAGCACACAGTCTTGAGCTCGAAGCCCTGCGCCTGAGCCTAAACAACATGCATACAGCACAGCTGGAGCTGACACAAGCCAACCTACAGAAGGAAAAGGAGACAGCATTGACGGAGCTGCGGGAAATGCTCAATGGCCGGCGGGCCCAGGAGCTGGCGCTGCTGCAGAGCAGGCAGCAGTGTGAACTGGAGCTGATGCGAGAGCAGCTTGCCCGGGAGAAGGAGGAGGTGGTGCTCCGCTGTGGGCAAGAAACAGGTACTGAGCAAATGCAGGGTGTGGACCACCACGGGTCCCCACTTTCTTGGCTTTTCTGGTCATAGCCTAGCCTTTAACAGATCATCTTTCCAGATCTCCCCCTTCCTCCACATCCCCCCAACACACACACACACACACACACACACACACACACACACACACGAAGCACCCTGTTGATTTTCCGAATCACTTTAAGGCCGTGCTCCCGTTTTTACCCCTTGGGAGGGAGGCGAGCCACCCAGTGGTTCCTCTGTGTTGGCCAGTCCTTGATAGTGTTTGGACCCAGCTCACTTCAAGCATGAGGAAACTTGACTGGGTCTGTGCTGCTGGCTGGGCAGTGTAGGGAGACACCCTAGCCCCGCCCAATAGTCCTGGGACAGGTACCAGGTGGACCCGGGACTCGCCCATAAGGGCGTGGTGAAGGAAAGCCGGGGTGACATAAGGGAGCTTCTTAAGGGGCTGCACGTGGGGACCCGGGCCCCTTTTGTTCTGGCCGCGCTTGCTGGGTTCTCTTCTGCCCTGGTGTCTTCTTGAATAAAGAGACTTTAATTGTAATAGGGCAGTGCTTGGGTTCGGCATGGCTGTCCATCTTAGATAATGATGATGTTGCAGGTCTGCATGCTGGGTCAAATACACTCTTAGTCTGCTGCCTACTCTGCCCATAGGCCAGCCTGTGTGGACTGTTTTCCTTGTAATTAGTTAGTGTATTTTGTGTGTATGGGTGTTTTGCCTGCGTGTATATCTGTGAATGTATGCCCCGTGCATGTGGAGGTCAGAAGAGGACATTGTTCCTCCAGAACTGGAGTTACACATGGTTCTGAGCTACCATGTGTGCCCTGGGAGTTGAACCTAGGTCCTATAGAAGAGCAGCCAATGGTCTTAACTGTTGAGCTATCTCTTCAGTCCCACATATTTTTTGTTTTTTTGAATAAGTATCAGCTTTATTGAGAAATAACTACCATGTCACATAGCCTGTGTGCTAAGGAGCACAGTTTGCAGCCTTTGGTGTGTCCACAAAGTTCTGTAGACCTGTCAATAGTAGGGGTTGAGAGCATTCATGACTCTGAAAGAGGGCTTGCTGCCTACTGGGTGAGCTTACTTTTCTGCTTGCTTCTCCAGCTTCCTTGTGACAAACAGAAGCATTGTCTCTAGCCCCGGCTCTGCGGGACCAAGCCTGCTCCCTTGCTTCAGTCTCCCCTCAGCATGAAAGACCAGTTTTCTTTTCTGGATACCTTTTTTGTTTCTTTAGGCACTTTGAAACAAAACAAATGCATGTTTGTATTTTCTTCTCTTCTTCAATATGAGATCTTTTTAGCTTTTTATTGCAGTTGCAGAGACCCCTCTTCTCTGTGGCTCCTGGTTAGGCCTGCTGTCCCTAGGGAAGGAAGGCAAAGGACTCGGTGGCGCTCTGGGGTGTAGCACCTTGCTCTCGAAGGATGGATCCCAGCCTTTCAGTCACCCTTAGACTTGTCTGCTGTCACCTTGTCCTGCCCCATGCCTCCTGCCACCGCTCTGTTTCTTCAGTCCTACCCTTCCCTGACCTTCACACATGCTCTCTGGGGGAGGCTCATCAGCTCTCGAGGCACTGCTGGAACCTATCTTTGTGTGCTTCTCCCTGCTTAAGTTGGGAGCTGTTGGATCACAGGACAGTTTCTCATGTCCTAATGTCTAGTACCTTACCTTGACCCTGGCACAGTGGGCACATGAACTAAAACACCTTGCAGTTAGTTCTCTTGTCCCAAGAGATTTGGAGGTGTCGGTGTTGGGATCCCAGCAGCTGATCTATCTTCGGCTGTACTCTTAGGAGAACTTGAGTGACTGGGAAATTTCTATATCCTTTATTTTGATGTGAATACATTTCTTACTTAAACTAATCATCGTCTGGACATCTTGTGCAATGGCAACCCTCAGGAGTGGATAGTGGGTGCTAGAGCCCCGCGTCTGCTGGGCGATGAGGTCAAGGACAAGGTTGAGACTGTGGTCTGAGCAACTTGTTACATTTGTCTTGCAGCTGAGCTGAAGGAGAAGTTACGTTCAGAAATGGAGAAAAGCGTCCAGATGATAGAGGTGTGTAGTTGACTGGAAGTGGGATCTGTGTGTGCGCGATCCTACTTTCCATCCCACTTGCCTGCCCCTCACCTTGATGCAGATAAAATCGGTGCAGGGGAATTGGAGTGTGCTGGGAGAAAGTGAATTCTTGGTTAACAGTGTTTTTAGAAGACTTATTTTGCTGCTTTGCTGACTCTTGAAATATGAAGCTTCCCAGCCACCCTTTCACATGGTGTTGTTGACCCCTTCCCCGTCTTCGTGGACTTCTGTCTGGTGGGGAGAGGTGACCGTAGCCAGAGGCGTGAATGTGGCAGACGCACCAAGGTGCTAGCCAAGTTGCCATTGGCCCCTTGTAGGAAGGTGGTTTCAAGAGCCTTTGAGAGAGTGATTTTATAAGATACCTAACATTCAGAGATTGGTTGTGCCACAACCTACTGTTCCTTTTAAATTAGACTCTGAAGCAAGATTGGGAATCTGAGAGACAGTTATGTCTGGAAAATCTCCGCAAAGAATTGTCTGCGAAGCACCAGTCGGAAATGGAGGGTTTGCAAAACCAGTTTCAGAGAGAATTAGCGGAACAGAGGGCTGAGCTGGAGAAGATTTTTCAAGCCAAACATGAGGCTGAAGGTGAGCCCCTGGTTAAAGTGAGCATGTCTGGAGGGGCTGAGTGTCTGCTGTGATGCTAGAGCAAACACCATTGCGATTGGACTTGCCTTTCCCACCCTCGTTTTCCAGGGCAAGCTGCTGAGGACATATGATGTCATGAGTGTCCAGGAGGTGTTGTAGCTGCTGGCCCACTGCCCTGCCTCTGTTTCATAGGTCCCTCTTACATATTCAATTACTAAATTATCACTGAAGCAGTAGTACGGTGGCCGCTCACTTTTGATACTTGAGATGTTATGTAACTTAGTGATTCTTGTGAGTTGAGATGGTATCTTCTTGCCTGTGGCTGAGTCCCTCCATGGAAGAACAAGCTAGTTTCCTGCAGTGGTGTCCTGATGGAGCCTGCTCAGCTTTCCCTCCCTGTTTGTGCCATTGGTATTTCCCCCATCCAGACATTCCCAGGTGCTCAGCATGGAACGCGGTGGGCACAGCTGTGGCTTTGATATGAGATGCCAGTGAGCTATTGCTGAAGAAGGAAGCATTGTCTTGTCATACGCTAGGTGACCTCTGTGCTGCTTTCTAGTTTCCCTGAAGGAGACCCAGCACCAGGCAGCTGTCAAGAAGTTACAGGAAGACCTGCAGTCAGAGCATTGCCAGTATTTACAAGATTTAGAGATGAAATTCAGAGAAAAGGAAAAAGAAAAAGAGTTGGAGGTAGGCAAAAAACTTCCTTTTGGTTGTTTGATTGTATGTGGGGATGGGGTATGTTCAGGTGTAGACATGGGTGCATGTGGCTAGTCACGTGTACACAGAGGTTGATGTCAGGTGTCTCCTCTGTTGTACTCCATCTTATTTTCTGAGACAGGATCTCTCACTGAACCTTGAGCTCACTGATTGGCTAGACTTGTTGGCTGGCAAACTTAGAGTCTTCCTGTCTTTGTTACCCCAGCAGCGAGAAAGATGATTTATTGTACACGAGTTATACTTTGCCATAAGTGGGAACAGAATTTGTCCAGAATGCCACAGGTCCAGGGCAGAGGGCCAGTAGGACTGTTTGGTTGTAATGAAGGCAGTCAGTCTCTAAGGTGGTCTCTGCGAGCAGATGGTGGTGTTCGGGTCCATTGAGACTTAGACCAACAGCAGCACAAGTCAGTGCCAATCTCACTGTAACCCAGAGCCTGCACGGGCCTTGTCTTTCCATGTTTGACCATGGGGCTATGGCCCAAGAGGAGATTTGCCTCAGACTTCCTGACCAGGTATTTAGCCCTGGGCTGGGGCCTCCCCACTAATTACTGGAAGTATATATCTTTGTTTAGAGAGAAAACTGACCTGGGCAGGAACAGGAACATATGTCCCTGAAAGGAAAGCAAAAAACCAGCCTCTGTGCAGATAATATTCATTTTTAAAAATAATCTTAAAAGTTTTAATTAAAACATATCATGTTCACCCTCCCTCCTCTTCCCCTGTAACTCCTCCCATGTCCTCCTAGCCCCCCCCTTACCCCTTCTCAAATTTATGAATTTATGGTCTCTTTTTCTTTGATATTACTGTCATATTATACACACACACACACACACACACACACACACATATATATAATACACATATAAATATAACCTCCAGATTCCATTTAATGTTGCTTGTATTTCAGGGCTGACAACTGGATATTGAGTAACTAATTAAGGGATTCCTTATTCTGGAGCTCTCAGTAGTCATTAGTTGCCTATAGTTCTCTGTGCAGTAGTATGCCTTTTTTTTTTTTTTTTTTTTTTTTTTTTTTTTTTCTTTTGAGACAGGGTGTAGTGTGGCCTTTTGAGGTCCCTGCTTTCCATGTTATCCGGGTTGTCACTGTTGGAATCTTGTTTAGGCTTCATATTATTGAGACCTTGGAAGTGAAGCTTTCTTATCATTTCTAGGAGACAGTTTCACCACAGACTTCTAGTCTTCCTGGCTCTTACAATCTTTCTCTTACAATCTTTACTCTGAGCCTCGGGTGTAGGAGTTGTATTGTAGATGTATCTGTAGGTGCTGGGTACCCCCATATCAGTCATCTGTATTTTGACCAGTTGTGGTTTTCTGTGATGGTCTTACTCCATAAGCATGTCATGCTTCCTTGTGAGGTGTGAGACCCTAAGGTGGCATTTTCAGAGTACAGAGCCATACATGCCGCCCTTTCATCTCCTTTGGTTCTCATGTCAACATTTTTTCTTCTTCACAGTTAGAGAATCTTCAAGCATCCTATGAAGAACTGAAGGCTCAGTCCCAAGAAGAAATCAGATGCCTATGGTCCCAGCTTGAGTCTGTGAAAACCAATACAGAGGAACTGAATGGTGAGGAATTTTGTGGGATGTTTAGGTCCTTCGAAGCTAAGCTGTGCAGAATTTCATTTATTTCTTTATTTATCCATTCATTCATTCATTCTTGAGGTGGTATATTAGAACCTAGGGCCTTGCACTTTTTTTTAAAATTTTTTTTATTTATTTATTATGTATACAACATTTTGCTTCCATGTATATCTGCACACCAGAAGAGGGCACTAGATCTTGTAACGGATGGTTATGAGCCACCATGTGGTTGCTGGGAATTGAACTCAGGACCTCTGGAAGAGCAGTCAGTGCTCTTAACCTCTAAGCTATCTCTCCAGCCCCGGCCTTGCACATTCTTAGCAAGGGATGTACCACTGATCAAATCCCAGCCCTGTGACTTTCGATTGTTGAACCATAGAGTTTACTAGTGGGGGTGGGAGGGAGAAAGGGAGAGAGGAGAGGAAAAGAGAGGAGAGAGGCAGGGGTTGGGGGGCAGAGGAGGAAGGAAAAACACAAACTTGTGAGCTTGCTTATACATCTTGAAGATGATACATGTTTTGTATACAAATGGAGATTTTGACACTGGAATGCATTTGCTGTTCTTGCAGAGGACACATACTCAGTTCCCAGCACCTTCATGGCAGTTCACAACCATCTGCTGTCCTCTCTGTCCTTTGTGGACACTGCATGCGCGCGCGCACAAACACACACACACACACACACACACACACACACACACAGAGAGACACAGACATACACTCAAACATATAAAATAAAAATAAATCCTTAGCTAGGGGAAAGGGTGGAAGGGGAAAAGGGAGGAAGGGAAGGGGAGTGGGGGGAAAAACGTATCACTCAATTTAAAAAAAAATGGCAAAAAAAGTCTTTAAAAGGGAAAGGAAATTTGTATATAGGAAAGGTTTCTTATTGTGTTTTGTCCCTCAGTGTATCAGCTGAGTGGTGATCACATGACTGTGCCCCTGATGTTACAGGCTCTTGTGGTGTAAAGTGTCCTTCATGTATCAGTCTTAACTGGCAATGTTACTGGGTAATACAGCAGGGTGATTCTTAGCAGGCATTGGGGGTTCCAAAATGGGGTCTTTCTGCTTGCTACTGTGTGGATCCTGTGAGCTTCTCCAGGGCAGCTGCTGTCGGGTTCCTGTGGCTCTAGCTCCAGTCTAGAGTCTGAGTCTCCAGGGCCCAACAACTGTGGCTGCTTTTGCTGGAGGCAGCTTCATCTCATCCTTGCATAGAGTTGAGCACCCTTGCAGACCCCAGTCTTGGTTCTCTCCTTTTGTGTCAGGAACGTCTCTGTGTAGCCAGGTGGACATGGCCACCTGGAGAGCAGGCAGAGTCACCTGTGTTCTGGGACAGAGATGTCTAGGTCCAGTTCAGGCCACCAGTATCTAGAAGCCTAGTCTTAGCTAGCATTCTTAGTGTTCATCTGCAAACAGAGCCTTTCAGATGCAGATCTCCCTTGAGGATCGATGTTGTTTTGATCAATGAACAGTTAGGAGAAAGGACCAGAAACACAGACATTTGGCAAACTACCCTTTGTCATGTGATGGCAAGAGATGCCTGGTCTCCGTCTCCTAGCCTTGAGCTCTGTTCATGGCCAGATATTGTAGCCAACATGTCATTTCTTTAGGGTCCTCTGTTACCTGAGCCTAGAGAAGAGGTGAACTGATGGCTCTAGCATGTTCTTCCATGGAACTTCATCCTTCAGGGAGCTTCCATACAAAGTCTTTGGGGTTGTAACTAGTCAGTCTACGCTGCTTGTTAGTGGTTTCCATATATAAGTTTATAGCAGATTTTCTTCTACACCACCAACCAGTTCCCAAATCAGGACACAGAGACTATTATTGGTTCTGAATGTACAGCTTTATCTTATTCTTGTTTCTTGATAGCTCTTATAACTTAATTTAACCTGTTTCTCTTCATCTACATTAAGCCTCTGGGCTTTTTACCTTTAGTTTTGTATGTCCTACTCTGTGTCTGCTGGCTGGCCGCTGCCTGACTGGCCCTGGCGTCTCCCTCTGTTTCTTGCCTGTTCTCTTCTCCTTCTTCTCTCAAGCCTAGGCTCCTCCTACTTGTTTTCTCTGTCCACCAGCCCTGCCCCCCTCCTGCCTAGCTATTGGAAGTTCAGCTTTTTATTAGACCAGTCAGGTCTTAGGCAGGGAAGGTGAAACAGCAACACATCTTTACATACTTAAACAAATACAGCATAAACAAATGTAACACACCTTTACATAGTTAAAGGTTATATTCACACACCAGTTGGTAGCATTCTCTGGGTTGCAAGCTTACATGTGGTCTGTGTTGCTGTGCAGACAACTAATCACTTTGATAGCCTCAAAATATGGGCTCAAAGAAAGTTTGGGGTGCTGTGTCTGTGCTCTCTGCCCAGGAACTCCAACAGCTTACATCCAAGTGTCAGCAGCTGTGCCTTGCTCCAAACCTGTTTCCTGAGTCACTGAGATTGTGACAGGATACAGTTCTTTGTTGCTAGGACCATGTTTCTTGCTGCAGGTAGTTGCCCTGATTCCCAGTTGCTTGGCTTTTTAAGGGGTTCCTGAAATGCTGAGCGAGTTATGAGGCAGGAGGCTCTTACCTATGCACAGTCATGAGGGGTCTGCTCAGGGACCTTGGTGTTTCCTGCTTTGTGTGTTTCCCTCTGGGGTGATTATGTGCTTCCTTCTGCTGAAGGGTCGTGGGAGCCATGTCTGGCCCAGGACTCTCACCTGGAGGAGCTGGAGCACCTGCGGTCAGACTTCGCGCAGCAGCAGCAGCAAGAGCGAGCCCAGCACAAGTTGGAGCTGGAGCACCTGCGGTCGGACTTCGTGCAGCAGCAGCAGCAAGAGCGAGCCCAACACGAATTGGAGCTGGAGCACCTGCGGGTCTATTTTGAGAAGAAGTTGAGGGATGCTGAGAAGACATACCAAGAAGACCTGACCTTGTTCCAGCAACGGCTGCAGGAGGCCAGGGAGGATTCTCTGGAGTCTGGAGAGATCAGGTAAAGGAAACATTGTTCCCATTCGGCGGCTTTATGAAGTGTGTGTGTGTGTGTGTGTGTGTAGCCTGGGCTAAGTTTGCACTTCTTCTGTTTGTGATCTCACACTCATGGAGGACAGTAGAGCTGGGTTTTGTTGTTGTTATTGTTGTTGCCTTGGCTGGCTTGGAACTCAGTCTACCTGCCTCTGCCTCCCTAGGACTGGAATTAAAGGTGTGTACCACCACATCAAGCCCAGCAGAGCCAGCGTGTGGCCCTGTGGTCCAGTCTCACTCTCCTGTGTTATAGTACTGGCTAAGCAGTGTTTATACCTAGCGTCATCTAATCCTTAACCTAGATACCTTACCTCTATATGGTTGGGCCCAGGGACAGAGTAGGCAAGAAAAGGACGCACTAAAGCTTTTATTCTATTTAAATTTTTTTTAATGTTTATTTTATATGTATGAATGTTTTGCCTGCATGTGTGTATATGTACCACATGCCCAAGAAGAAGTTGTTGGCTTCTCTGGAACTGGAGCTACAGATGGCTGTGAGCCACCATGTGGGTGCTGAGAACTCAACTCAGGTTCTTTGCGAGAGCAGTCAGTGCTTTTAACTACTGAGCCATCTCTCCAGCTCTCAGAGCTTGGTTGGTTGGTTGGTTGGTTGGTTGGTTTTTGAAAAAGGGTCTCACTGTGTCCTAGAGTTCACGGCATAGAGCAGGCTGAATTGCATTCACAGAGTCCAGCACTCTACCTCCTGAGTGCTGGAGTTCAAGTTCACCATGCCCAGCGCACTAAGACTTTCATGCATGTCTTCTCTCTTTAGTTCATCCTGTATATTTCCAGAGGAGACATCTGGCAGAGGAAGAAAGGAGCAACCTGATCCACTTGATCTTCAGCTGGAGCAGCTGAAGGTGACAGGCTGTGGGTTTTTAATATGAGAGAGGGTTGAGGGTCATTCAACTTTACATTAGAAACCGGCTGTTTTCCGCCTAATAAAATCTGCCCGTCTGTCTTTGTTGACTCCTCATGCAGAGGGGAACTTGATTTTCCATGTAATCTCATATGTGCACCATGGCTTGTCTAAGGAGTAAGTACAAAGCCTGAGGCCCTGACGCCCTTCCTTCCTTCCCAGCTCTGCTTGCTTGCAGTCTTTCTCAATTCCCAGCTGTCATTGAGGCTTCGCCTGCCACCCTCACCCTGCACACCTGTCACCCTTGATTCTGACATTCTGACAGGTGTGAGGCTGAGCGTATGTGTGTGTATGTGTGTCCTGAACTCGTTGATCATCTCTTCATCTTTTGATTTTCTTGCCTTCATCTCCCAAGTGTTAGGATTACAGGCATGCACCATGCGGTGCTGGGGATCAAACCCAGGGCTTACGAATGTTAGACAAGACAAGTGCTCCATGTAAACTGAGTTACACCTCCAAGCCCTTGACCGCATCTCCTTATAAAGTTATAGTCAGCGTGGGTTATGGCCTTCTCTGATTCCTTATTTTATTTTAAGCATCCTATCTTAAACAGTCCTGTCCTGAGGTCCTCAAGATAGGGCTATGTATAGCATATGAACTTGGGAGAGACACAGAACAACCTATGACGGGCTTTCTCCAGCCCTCAAAATCTTTTTTGCTCATATGTCTATGAATAACGCTTCTCCCTGCTCTGGTAAATGTGACAGAGCTCCCCTGTGTGCCATCTTAAACCCCATTGGTGTGACTGCATCCTGTGGCTCGTGTTAATTCTCTGGGGTTTGAGAACCTCACACCCTGTGTGTACTTTGCTTCATGCCAGATGCAAGGTGAGGTCTCTGAATCTCAGGCTCTCCTCTCATGGGTATTCTGTCTGGTTGGACTATTCATTGGCCTCTGTGTTTTCTGTTAATCTGTAGCTCTTGCGAGCTTCATAATTAAGTTTCCAAACAAATCCTAAAGTTCTTAAGTTTTCTCATGCATCTTACAGCTGTTTGGATTCTGTTTTCTGGGCAGGTTTTGTTTTGGTTTGTTTTTTCATTTTGCCAGTTTTCAGGTAAATTTACTACCATTTTGATCTTATGTGTGGATGTGTACGGAGGTCAGAGATGTGTTTGTGAGAGTCAGATCTCTACCTGCTGAGCCCTCCCTGGTGTCCCTCTACTGCTTAGGGATGTCTACGTCCTGAATTCCTTCTGCTTTCTGTCTGCTGGGTCTCTGTCTGATGTTAAAGGCAGGTGTTCCCTGTGCAGGTTGTGATCTGTGACCACTTGCCTTCATGTGTGCTATGAACCCCATGTATCCAAGTAAGCTCTTTGTACCAGCTCAGAGATGCACTAAGGGGACTGGTGGCATTGATGTCACTCCTAGGGTTGTTGCACTCCTCCTTTGAAGGTTCTTTTGCCTCCTAGTGGGGACTTCTGCTACTTTTGTTACCTGAGGAAAGGGGCAGAAGGAAGCTACCCCCTACCCCCAACATATACACTGTGCGTCTGTTCCTGGGGACCCTAATGTATGCAAGGAAAGAGTATGGAAATCTGCCCTGAGCCTGCCTTTCCCAGTCTGAGGCCTCCTGTCCACCATGAGCGTCCATCCCACCCTGGTTTTTCCTTCTGCTTTCCTGGCAGGCCCGACTGTAGGGTCTCCATCTGCCAGCAGGGGTTGAGAATGGTCACTGCTCCTCTCTCCTTTGCTTTTCATAAGTTAATAAGTAACATTTTTTCTTAAATTTCAGAAAGGTGTAGAGATGGAAGTGATGGGTTCTATGTCTAATTAATGAAAAATGCATGTGGGTGTGTGTAGCATGTTGACAGGCCACAGTCCTCTGCACGTTTCCTGACGGGTCCCTCCCTAGCTGGGTAGTGAACTGATCACCAAAGTGTGGGTGGCTGTCTGAGTGACTGTCTCTTATGTGTGCATCTCTCTGGTCATTCATGAGGATGAGCGTCTTTTCACTTGTTTAATCAACTGTTATTCCATTCCTTCTGACTGTATTCCATCTCTTTGCTCATTTTGCTGCCGTTGTCTTTGCCTCTCCTTCTAGTATGAGTAATTTCTAGCACTATTCACCTTTGTGTTCTGATGGGGGTGTTTTTCATGCTTTTTCTTACCGGGACTGACCGTCGCTCTCTTTGGAGTGGCCCAAGAGATCCTCTGTGACTTCACCCTGCTCGATCCCATTGCCTGTCCTGTTGTTTATCCTTAGTGAGATAGCACTGTCCCACGTGAACTTACTGTCACAGGGCCACGTCTATCTCATCAGTTTCATGATACTTACTTCTCTAACAATGAGAATGTAAGTCTTGTTTTAAACGGTAATTTTAGTTCATTAGAAATTCAGGGCGATGAGATCTTTTTTTGTTTGTTTGTTTGTTTGTTTTTCAGTTTTGAGGAGAATGGGTTCAATGGCTACATTTTCAGCGTGTGCCGATCCATCCATTCTGTCATGATGGAAGAGGGCTCTGAACCCGAAAGGGCAGAGCCTGTTCTCAGGGCTGGGGACTTGGCAGCAACTAGAGATTCTCTTGGGTTGCTCTTCCTTTTTGTAGGGACTGTATCCTTGCCCCACATCTGAGCAGGTCCAGAATCGGAACTGTGAGAGGGATGTTCAGAGCAGAGAGGATGCCATAGAAGTTGGAATCAGGAAGTGTGGAGGCCTATCCTGCTTCCATGTGGCTCATGGTATGTCTGAAACAGAGAAGTGACAGTTAGGGCACCCATGGGCAGTCAGCAGAGATCTCAGGCCAAAGAAGCTTCTCCTGAGAGACAATGGGGGTCAGCTGCAGGAATAGGACCTGATGTCTAAGATTATACGAAAATGCCTGAGGGGACAAAGGTGACTGAAGTGGTAAGCTGAACTTTTGTGGACAGGCAGGCTTACCCTGGGAGGTAAGCAAGAGAGAGTAGGTTTTAGGAGAGCTCTGATCGGGCTCTGGAGTGACTGCTAGACTGGTCCTCCATGCTGCCTGGAACTGATCTGGGCCCGTCGTCTGAAGGATAGATAGGCATTGGTACAGTCATTGTTGGGTGACAGCTCAGAGAAGTACAGGGTTTAGGAGCAGCCCAGGCTTAAGATCTGAGGCTGGATACTGGAGAGATACTGAGGGCAGGGAGACAATCAAACTTTAAGGGTAGGAGGAGAGATGCCAGCAATGGACAGGAGAGTGGACATCAGTAACATTGTAGATGCCTAACTGTGATGGGAACACCCACGGGTAGGATGGCTTCTACTTGCTGCCATGGCCTCTTGTTCATGTTGTCCTCAGGCTGTAGCCACTGCTTCTGTGGGTTCTCCAATCTGCTCTGGACAGGGTTGGATGGGGAGAGGTACTGTGGCGTGTCTGTACCAGGATCAGTTGTGTGGTCTGGCGAATCTAGCTAAGTTTATGTTTTCCTTTGAACAGAGCAGGACTGTCTCACGGTAGTATCAGAACAGGGTGATCAGGCTCACTGACTCACCTGTCCTGTGTGGTCCTTTAGGAGAACTCGACAAGTTTACAAGCAGGACTGGAAGAAGACCCCAGGCATGAAACAGGTGTGTTGAGTTCTTCCCTCAACTTCCAACTCAAGGAGAACAAGTCACACAGCTACCGCCTGAGGCCCGAGGAAGCAGAACAGGAGAGGCTCCCACTTACACTCTCAGAGCAGCACAGCCAAGGTGTGCCCCATCTGCCCCTCAGGGCTCCTTATTTTCCTGCCAATGCCAGTTCCTATTGGAGTGTCTTGGGAGAAGATACTCCTTGCGTTTTATCATGGAGCATCTGCTTCAGCTGGAATCAGTGGTGTCCGTATGAAGACCACGAGCCTGCCCCAGTGTAACACAGCTCCCTGCTGTGAGGATTCATCCCTGAGCAAGTGCTGTTAGATGGTGGTAGAGTTAGGAGAGGGATGGCCTTAGTGATATTAGACTCTGCTCTGCTTCTTTGGGCCAGCATTATGGCTCAGCCGAGCAGATCGAGGTTGTGGGTCGCCCAGGGAGCCTGAGGGAAGGAGCTCCTGTGGGATGGCCTGGAGTAGCATAGAAAGACTCTGGCTGTCTCAGAGGTGTGGTTCCACAGGGATGAATAGTGGTCACTCCCAGTGATTGTAGAGGTGGGCAGCAGAGGCCAGCTGGTGTGAAACATGGTGACAGTGTTTCCAATGTTGTTCAGCCCTCCTTGGGTACAGTGGTTCCCCTCCAGGGAAGGTGAGGAAGCCGGGTTGAGGGCCTCGGCTCAGGTAGTAGTGGTGGGATCAGTGACCATATTCCTGTCTTGCGACATTAAAGCCTGTGTAGCCCTGGAGCTCCATTCAACATCAGACAGGGCAGGGTGAGAGGTGTAGAGTCCCACTTGGGAGCCAGGGGCCAACACACACCTGTCCCTTACTGCTCTTGTCTTTGTTGATCCCGGGACCTCCACAGCTGCCTCTGACATGCTCTGTCATTTGTGCTGCTTGTGCCCATGTAGTCCCTGTAGCACGACTTGTTATTGCTCTAAGTCCGAGGCTTGTGCCTCTGTTTCCATCTTCTGAAGAGGAAGACCCAGGCCTGGTTTAGAGGAGGCAGTGTGCTCCCCCTGCACACTCACTTCCTGGGTGGCTCAGCTCAGGCTCAAGGCCTGTGATGAAACCCTGAATTAGCCGTGCCTGTCCCTGTCCCTGTCCCTGTGTGTCTGGTGCTGGGCATAGGGCTCATTCTGGGTGACCAGCAGCAGGTTGCACATCATGTCTGACCTTAAGGAATACCTCAGGCTGCCTAGATGTATGCTGGGTAGACCCCAGAGAATGCTACAACTCAGGGTAGACCCGGGATGCGCCTGCAGGGGGGACACTGAGGACCTGGCGCCTCTCCTGTCCCGAGTCAGCACCAGGGTGCTGCCGTTCTGTGGGGCTGCCTGTGGATGCCCCAGCCGACGATGGTCTCCCTCTCCCTTGTTCCTCAAGAGCTTGCCCAGGAACATCTGCAGTATGCACAGGACATGGCTATGGAGGCCGATGCTCAGGTGGCTGCCAGAATCCTGACCTTGGAAGCTGAACACAAGGATGTGTGTAAAGTTTCACTTCTTCAGACTGAACTCAAGGAAGCAGTTGAACTCTTGAAAATAGAGAACAGGAATTTACAGGAGAAACTGCAGCATGAGACCCACCTGAAAGAGGAGCTGGAGAGGGTGAGTAGTGACCCTCAGCAAGGCTCTGTATTCTTGAGGAAGGCTTGTGGTCTCTGTGCACAAGGGGGGGAGGGGGTGTCCTGAGGACATCCTGAACTATGTATGTCATTGCTGTGGGAGTGTGTGCACCAGATTCTCATGGAAAGAAATGCAAGATGGGTTTGCCACAAAGCTTCATTAAGGTCTGGTACCCAAAGCCAGAGCCAGTTTGGTTCCTTAAGACAATGAATGGTCAGTCGTGGCAATCTTCTGATCCTCATGCCACTATCTTCAAAGTACGTTCAGATTCTTCACATCCTTCATGGTCATTGTTCAGCTGCCGTGGACAGTTCAGATACTGAGCCTACCCCTAGGTATTTGTGAGCTTGAGAAAGTCACTGCCATACCATTAGGGGAATGAACACAATGGAAAATGACAGCCTCTTCAGAATTACAATAGGGGCTTCATTATGCAGCCAGTGCAGCTCAGGGAGCATGAGCTGGGATTTCTTTGTCTTTTGCTGCTTGTAAGCTGTGCTCTCTTCATCATCTTTTTAACCATGTCTGAAAACATGTCTTTCATGCCTTCTGTCCTCGTGTGTTCTTTGTGAATGACTTTGTGGATTTTCATCAGAAAAGAATGTTAGAGGAATCTCTTTTTGCCTAAAAGATTGATTACTAAGTTGCCTTGAAAATTAAGGAACTGGTAAGGACTTGGACAAGATAGAACTAATAGAACTTTGTGGAAAGCTGTGTGAACCACCTCACCCAAGTCAGCAACTGTTCATGGGCTGGCAGTTCATAGTCTGTGGCCTGTGATCAAGACAGAGTTTCCTAGACGATAAATGTTTGTTTCCCAGGTCACATTTTTATCTGGAGAATCAGTTCAAGGCAGGAATGTGGCAAGGCGTGGTGGCACACACCTTTAATCCAGAGACAGAGACAGGCAGATCTTTGAGTGTGAGGCCAGCCTGGTTTACATAGACAGTTCCAGGACAGTCAGGGTTACACAGAGAAACCCTGTCTCAAAAAACTAAACCAAACCAAACCAAAACAAACAACAAAAATAATAAGAAGAGAATGTGGAATTCTCCTGTAGTAATTTTGTTAAATTTTTGCTTTAAACATTTTGAAGCTCTGCTAATAAATTTACATATTTGTGATTATATCTTCCTGGAAGGTTTACCTTTTTATTATTAATGAAATATCTCCTGATATTCTTTGCCTTAAGATCAACTTATTAAAATCTTTTTGTTTTTGTTTTTGTTTTCTTGAGACAGGGTTTCTCTGTGGCTTTGGAGGCTGTCCTGGAACTAGCTGGTCTTGAAGTCACAGAGATCCGCCTGCCTCTGCCTCCCAAGTGCTGGAATTAAAGGTGTGCACCACTACTGCCCAGCTATTAAAATCTTTTATTAGAGAAAGAAAGAAAAGAAAATTAGCTAGGCGTGGTGACACACACCTTTAAAGCCATAGCCTCCAAAGCCACAGAGAAACCTCCCTCCCCACAAAAAAATCTTTTATTAGTATAGTCATACCAACCTTGATGTTCATTTAAAAAAATGTTCTTGACATAACAGTCTTGCTCAGTTATGGAATGCTATGATTATAGGCATGTGCCACTATGTTTAGCATCTTGTGCTTTTTCTTAGCTTTTTGTTTTTATATATTTTTCATTTGGGTTAATGGATATAGTGTATTTTTTGTAGCTTATGCTGTTAAATATTAACTTATTTTGATAATCTCTGCCTTTTCATTATAGTGCTGAGTCTGTGAACATTTATTGAAGTTACTGATGTGGTTGATTTAGGTCTGCCTTTTTATCATGACTTTGCAATGTGCTCCTCTGCTCCTTTTTTCTAACCTTTGATGCCGCAGTTTCCTAGGAGCTAACGTCCATGTCTGTTGTTACCTCAGCAATAATAATGTTGTAAGATTTGCTCTGAGAAGTCAGGTATCCGAAAGCAATTAAGGGAGCTGAGTATAGTAGTGTATACCTTTAACCCCAGTATCCCAGTACTCCAGAGGCGGAGGGAGGCCTGTGATCAGGAGTTCAAAGCCATCATTGACTATATAGTAGGTTCGAGGCCAGCCTGGCTTACATTGTGAGGCCCTATCTCAAAGTAAAAATAAAAAGAGAACAACAGCAAGACCCACCCCCCCCAAAAAAAAAATAAATGAAGAAAACTGAAAGATCCTGTAGTAAATAATAGTCCTGGACTTTTCTTTTTTTTTTTTTAAGATTTTATTTATTTATTATGTATACAACATTCTGCTTCCATGTACATCTGCACACCAGAAGAGGGCACCGGATCTCATAACGGATGGGTGTTATGTGGTGGCTGGGAATTGAACTCAGGACCTCGGGAAGAGCAGTCGGTGCTCTTAACCTCTGAGCCATCTCTCCAGCCCCAGTCCTGGACTTTTCTTAGCAGTTCTGGTGCCATTCATTCCTCCTGAGGATCTGGGTCCATGTGTGCATCTTTACTCCTTATTTTCAGGATTTCCTCTAGCATTTCTTGTTGTTTGGGTCTTTTGTACAAGTTTTCTTTTATTTAAAGTCTCCCCCTCCCCGTCTTTATTCTCAATGTCCTTGCTGCAGTAAGATATTTTGTTGTTTTTTTTTTTGGTCAGGTTTTAAAGTATTGGTTTGGACTCTAATCTGATGATTTTATTGTCCATGCCAGCCTGGGACTGTCCCAGATTGATTGCATTATCTCTTCAGCATGGGTTCCATTTTCCGGTTTTGTTTGCTTGTTTTGTATCCTCTAGCTTTGTCGCATCTGGATATTGTAGGGGATGTCTCCTTAGATTGGAGTCTGTAGGGCTTTGCCATTTTGTTTCAGTAGGTAGTTATTTTCTTTCTCTTAGCTCAATAAACATAGAGGTCAGTCTCCCTTCAGCGTCTTATCTTGATGAACTTAGAGTCCACAGCCATCTCTGTTTGGGGATGAGTGTTCTGTTAAGTTCTTGTAGCTTTAACCTGCCTGCTTCCTTCCAGAGCCCATTCTACGTCTGCATTAAATTGGGGTCAGTCTGAGTTTAGGCTGTGTCTGTTGTTCTGCTCAGGAAGAGTTGGTCTGATTAGATTTGTTCACTCATCACCAGAAAAAAAAGGAACGTAGACTTTAGTTGATGGAGAATTGTGGTCACTCTCCTGTTTCTTTTTCCTTTTCTTTTTTTAATTCTTTAATTACTACTCATATTTACATATCCCCCCCCATTCCCTCGCCCTCCCATGTTCCCCACCAACCCCCTCTTTTTTGACATTGATTTGCTTCTTATTGATACTTTCTTCCTTCTGGAATTTAAGGTATCCATCTATCCTTAGCTTTTTCATTTATCCTCCTATTCAAGCGACCTTTAGAATTATTTCATTTATTATAGATCAGGTGAATTAAACTTAGGTTTTGCCTCTTGCTGCTGTTGCGTGTGATCCCCCTTGCAAAAGACCTATAGGTCCATCTTTGCTCCAGGTGCATGTGAGTGCTGCCTGTGTGCTTACGTGCATTATTCCCAGGGTTGGATTTTACCTTGGTTTATATAAGGGCATTTCCATTCCGATCAACATAGGTTGTATTCCTACTGCTGTATTTTGAAATAAGTTTTAGAAATCTCCGTGTTCGTGGGTACACCGGGGTCACTGCATCCAACAATCTTTCCATTTAATTTCCTTCCTCTTCTATAAAACCATGTCATTTTATAGGTCAAACATAGTCTAGTTGAAGACCATCAGGTAAAACTAAATAAAGCCGAGGAGAAGATTCAGCTAATGAAACAGGAGTTCCAGAAAAAGGAAGCCGAGTGGGAGCGTTCTCATGAGGACTTCAAGAGAGACACTGAAGGGAGACTGACCTCCATGTTTATTGAGCTAAGAGAAAAGGCCGAGAGTGAGAAACAGTCCATAATAAGCAGGTTTGAGCACCGGGAGTCTGGCATGAGGCACCTGCAGGAGCAGCAGGCGGCCCAGATCTTGGACCTGGAGAGATCTCTGATGGAGCAGCAGGGCCGCCTGAGGCAGTTGGAACAAGAGCTCACTAGAGATGAAGTTCTGCCCTGTAGCCGGTGTGGCCAGGAGCCCCTCATGGCCCAGGATGAGGAGCACATCATGCTGCTCCGTGTGAAGGAAGACTGTGCCCTCCAGCTGATGATGGCCCAGAATAGGTGGGTGATGTTGTGGAATGGTGGCTTTGGTGTGGAGCCCCCTGCCCACAGTCCTGGCAGAGGCTAAGAGGGACCTAGCAGGATATAGAGCGGAGCTTGGTTGGGTAGGAAACTCAGAAGGAGGTGGAGCAAGGTGTGGTATACCCCATTTGTACTCCTCAACCAGAAGAAAAGGCTGGTGCTCCATGGTAGGTTTGCTGGGTTAGATAGCATAGTCACGTCCTCTTCGCAGCTTGAGTACCTTGCACGAACATGAGTGTGTATGCATCCTGTGTGTCTTCGTTCTCGTTTGCTTTTGAGAAGAGGTCTCCTTTTGTTGCCCGAGCTTGTCTTAAAGGTACACTACAGTCTTCTAGCCTCAGCCTCCTAAATGCTGTAATTCTAGGTACATCTCACCTCACCCTATCTGGCTTTTATTTTGAGACACAGCCTTCTTGTATAGGCGTTGTTGGCCTCTTACTCTCCTTGTAGCCCTGGTCGGCCTCTAACTCCTAATCCTTCCATCTTAGTCTTCCGCATGCTGTGATTATAGGTATATGCACTGTGTCCATTTATGCTTTTGTTCTTTGTTTGCATGTTTTAACATTTCTGTGAGATAGCTTTTTAAAATAATAACTGAATTTTAATGTTTTCATGTATTTAAATTCTTAAAAAATATTTTCTGTATATGGGTGGTGTTCTGCCGGTATGTATGTCTGTGTACTACATGCATGCCTGTTACCTCTGGAGGCCAGAAGAGGGCATCAGATCCTCTGGAACTGGAGTTACAGACCTTTTTGAGCTTCCATGTGGGTGCTGGGAATTGAACTTGTGTACTGAAAGAGCAGCTAGTGCCCTTAACTCCTCAACCATCTCTCCATTCTCTCAGGGACAGAATCTTCTTGTTTGGTTGGTTTTTTTTGTTGTTGTTGTTGTTTGCTTGTTTTTTTGTTTTTTTTTTTTTTCTTCTTCGAGACAGGGTTTCTCTGTGCCTTTGGAAGCTGTCCTGGAACTAGCTCTTAAACTAGCAGATTAAAGGTGTGCACCACCAACGCCCGGCTGTTTTGGGTTTCTCTGTATTGCTTTGGAGCCTATCCTGGCACTCTGTAAACCAGGCTGGCCTCGAACTCACAGAGATCCGCCTGCCTCTGCCTCCGGAGTACTGGGATTAAAGGCGTGCACCACCAACGCCTGGCTTTGTTTGTTTGTTTGGGTTTGTTTGTTTGTTTGTTTGTTTGAGATAGGGTCTCTCTGTCGTCCTGGCTGTCCTGGAACACACTGTTTAGGTCAGGCTGGTCTCAAATGCACCAATATCTGCCTGCCTCTGCCTCCCAAGTTCATTGAGTTAAAGGTATTGCTACCATACCTGGCATTCAGTAACAGTCTTAAGCCTTACTTATGAGGTCTTATGTGGATGTGGCCTTCATTGAGTCAAGTGTTTTGTGGGACTTTTGAACTTAATCATATTGTTTTAAAAGTAACCATTTCCTTCTAAATCACATTCTTCCTTGAAGTTACAGATTTAGAACATTAACAGGTTATTCGCCTCCTTTGGTGCCAAGTCTTTGGCAACCCCCAGTCCTGAGGCTGTGGTGGCTAATGTTTACTGACCATGGGACTGTCCAATCTGCTGGCGGGTTGGTCCCCCTTCATTCTCCACCCTTCTCAGCTTCTTGGCATCAGAGATGCTAAGGAGTTCTCTGTGTTTGAGATTGGAGTTCAGGCACAAACCCATGATTGTGTGGGCCAGAGCTGCAACTCCACAGGGCCTTCGAGTTCCTGTCTCACAGAAATCCTACAGCAGAGCACTCTGTGGAAGTCCCACGGCTGAGCTGCTCATAGAAAGTCACAGCCCTTGACTGGGAGATGCTCGGTGGGGAAGAGAGCTTGTTGAAAAAGCATTGAAGACCTGAGCTTGAATCCCTAGCACTCATGTAAAAGCTGGGCCTGACTGCACGTGCCTGTAATTCCATTGCTTGGGAGTGAATATTGATAATCCCTGGTCAGCCATCTTAGCTGAAACAGTGAGCTGATTCAGGTTTCTGTGGGATACTCTGGTTCAAGGGAACGAGACAGAGATCAATAAAGAAAGAGACCCAATGCCCTCCTCTGGCCTCTGCATGTGTGTATGTGGTACATAAGTGCCCACACAAACACACACACACACACACACACACACACACACATGCATGCTCTCAAAAGTCACAGCTCTTGTGTAGGTAAACTTAACAAGCTTACCATGAAATATAGCCTGTACCTGCCAGGGATCTTGGTAGTATCTGGCTGTTCACTGTTCCACAGGTGGGATCAGCTCCTCTCTGTCAATTAAGCCTCCCTTGTTTTGGGGCTTTCTGCTCATCTTTTCCTGGGCCTTTGGACTGCTTCATGGCCCTCTTACATAATACTGTTCCAAATGCTGTCACAGTGGCCTGTTGAGCCTGCTATTTGAGGTTCTTCCTGCAGGGATGTGTGTGTAGTTTGCCTATGAGTGCTGCGTCTTCCCATAGTTTTTTTTTTTTTTTTTTTTTTTTTTTTTTTTTTTTTTATACTTTT